CCCCCCCCCCCCCCCCTTGGCAAAATTGGGGGGGGGGGGAACCCGCCCCCAACCGCCGCTCGGGCCCCCGGAGGGGGTGGGCGGGGGAACCCTTCGGTTCCTGGGGGACCCCGCGCATGGGGGGGCCCCCCCCCAAAAGGGCCGGGCGGGCCCTTCCCCTTTTCCGGGGGGGCCTGGGCGGCGCCGCGAGAGGAGGCGGCGCTGTCTCAGCCGCTGCCGCGCGGCCTGCAGACGCTCAGGCTAGCCCTGGAGCAGAGAAGGGGGGGGGGGGGGGGGGGCGAGCTCGGGCGAGCTCGGGCGAGCTCGGGTGACCTCGGGCGGTCTCGGGTGGCGGTAGGCTCCTCCTGGACGAGGCGCCGTCCGCGCTGCTCTCCCGCCAGGTCTTCGACGTCCTCCTCGCGCTGCTGCAGCACCCGCTCGGCCGCTCCAAGCCCGAGGCGTGCGCCATCCTGCTCGCGCTGCTGCAGCTGCCGCCGCCGGCCGCCCACTCGCCCCACGAGGACCAGCGAGCGAGCTGGCGCCTCTCCCGGCTGCTGCCTCTCGCGCGCGCGGTGCGGTGGCACGCCGCCGACAGGGACGCCTCCAACCTGCTGCCGCTGCACGCGCAGCTGTACTCCGAGCTGCTCGCCTCGCTGCCTGGCCTCTCCCCGCTCGCCGAGGTGCACCTGCCTCGCAGCGCCGCCGTGGAGGCGCGCGTCGCGCTTCTCGGGCCGGCGGCCGCACCGGGCGCGGGTGCCGGCGCGGGCGCCGGCGCGGGCGCGGTGGGCATGCCCCCGCGGCAGGCGCAGCTGCTGCGCCGCCTGGCCGATCTCGGCGCGGTGCTTGTCGCCGTCCTCGACGGGTACGCCGCCGCCGCCGCCGCGAGCGAGGAGAGGCTGCGCGCGCCGCTCGCCGCCGCCGCCGCCGCGCTGCCACCGCCGGCGGCGCTGTCGGCCGCGAGGCGCGTGGTTGGTCGGTGGATGCGGGACTGCAACGAGGGGCCGGGGTGCGAGGGCTGGCCGCCGGACGGGTGGGGCGCTTGGTGCGCGGAGCTCGACCTCGAGCTGATCGCGTACGCGCGCTACCTCGCCACGCGCGGCAAGAGCGAGCGGAGGATGAGGGACGTCTCGCGGGCAGAGCTGTGAATCGTCCAGCTGTGAACAGTGCAGCTGTGAATAGGATGAGGGACGTCTCGCGGGCAGAGCTGCTCGCGCCGTGGAGGCCCGGAGCGGCGCGCGCAGAGCTCGCCAAGCTCGGCGGCAGCTGCCCTTCCCTCGCCGCGCTCGCTCCGACGGCAGAGAGCGACACGGCGCCCATCGCGGCGCGGTGGGCCCTGCTGGTGCTCAACCACGAGGGCGTCACGCTCGTCGGGGTCCGAGAGCGTCCCGAGGAGCTCCGCCAGCCCCTCCCGCCCGAGCGCACCCCTCGCCGCCTCGACCAAGAGGCGGCTGGCCTCCTCCGCCCACGGCCGCACGTGGAAGTCGAACGCCGCGCACTGCCTGTCGAATGGTGCAAGAATTCTATGGGCGGTTTTAATAGACAAAACGCGGTCTCGATGAAGCTCTCATTATGAATCAGATTCAGACCTTCCCATACCCACACACACGCACAGACACCCTGTACCCCATCAAACAACACCGACGCATCTCAATTCCGACCGGCGTTTGCTGCGCGCTGCTGCGCGCGCAATGAGCTGCCACCGCTAGCCACAGAGCCGCCTAATTCTTATCGTACGTTTGCCCCCGATGCGGGAGATCACGTGCTAACGTGGCGAGAGATGGCAAGCTGAGGCGTGTCGCGGGGCGCCGGTCACGGGGAGAGCTGCGACCGGAGCTGCGGAGACCTTCGGCCGTGGCCATCGAGGTAGTGGGAGGAGCAAGATTAATTTCGGCCGAGATGACGCTGCCAGAGGTGCCACCATTCCTCGGCGGAGAGGCTGTCATAGTTGCCGAGAGAGAGGTGCCATGGGCGACCGCGACCGTGAGGGACTGCTGCTCCGAAGCCTGCTCGAGAAAGAGACTGCCCCCGTTCTCTCCGGCGACGAGGTCAGCAAAAAGCCTCGCCCCGGCTGGTGAGACAGCAGGTGAATCATCGCCAGGATTGGAGCCGACGTCGGAGTTGAGGGTGTCGGATTTGCGTGAGCCGGCGGGGGAGTAGGAGGCGGTGCGAGCGACGGCGGGCTCGCTGATGGCCGGCGAGGCTTGGCGAGGCGGAGAAAAGCCAGCGGGCTGCAAGCCAGGAGATGGTGCGCTGGAGGGTGCGGGCACGAGAGGCGACTTCGACCTCTTGGGCGGGGCGTGAATGGCTGCAAGGGTCTCCGCCGCAACGGCGGTGCGCGGTGAAGGGGCCGCGTTGTTCAAACCTATTCACAGCAGCCCCGCCTTATAGGAGCGCTGGGGTCGGCACCTCGCCATCACCGCTGCCGTGGCCGTCACAAGCGCCACCACCACCGCCACTACAGCTCGCACTGCCGCCGCCACTGCAGCCCGCGCCACCGCCACTGCGGCCCGCATCGCCCTCGCCGCCGCTGCCACCGCCCGTGCCGCCGCCGCCACCGCAGCCCGCGCCACCGGGAACACAGCCCGCATCGCCCTCGCCACCGCTGCCACCGCCCGCGCCGCCGTCGCCACTGCAGCCCGCGCCACCGGGAACACGGCCCGCATCGCCCTCGCCACCGCTGCCACCGCCCGCGCCGCCGTAGCCACTGCAGCACGCGCCACCGGAAACACGGCCCGCATCGCCCTCGCCACCGCTGCCACCGCACGCGCCGCCGCCGCCACCGCAGCGCGCGCCACCGGGAACACGGCCCGCATCGCCCTCGCCACCGCTGCCACCGCCCGCGCCGCCGTCGCCACTGCAGCCTGCGCTGTGGCTGTCACCTTCAGCTGCGGCGCCTATTCACAGCCTTACGAGCTTCACAGTGCATGCCGGTCGCGTCTGACTCGAGGTGGGATCTCTTCCGCCGTCAGCAGCAGCCGATGTCGGCGCTGCAGATCCAAGTGGGCCTTCCCGGCACAGCCTCGCCGCCTCCGCCTCTGCTTCCGCAGCAGTGACAGCCCCCCTGCTCAGCTCGCGAGGCGGTGGTGGTGGCGGTTGGTGGTGTGTCTCGCGCCTTGCAGGGTTGGACTTACTCAGGAAGCAGGTGCGGATGCTCACACGTAGGCTCCCGTTCTGGAACCGCAGCTCGTAGCCTTCCTCAGGCTCCATGACGCGCGGATCGGGAAAGAAGATTATTTTCCCCGTCTCGCCATGCTTGATCTCGCGGTCCCCTCCAGCAATTCTGAACGTTTCCCCGGTGTAGTAGACCGTCTCGCCAATCTTGAACGGACCGGGTAGCTCGGGTGGCTTGTCCTCGCTGAGGTAGTCGGTGGACATCTCGAACTCAAGCTGGTAGCCGGTCTCGATGTTGACGATAAGCTTGAGTGCCCTGCCCTCGTTTGTTCCGGAGGCAGGGCCTACCACATGGCAGAGCTCGCCGTACTCAACCTCGTCGCAGGCGTGAGCGCCGTGTCGCCGGAACGGTCTGGTCCTGTCGGTATAGTACACTGTCTCCCCAGGCTGCAGGGCGAGCAGCGCCTTCCGCTCCTCCCTGCGCGACAGCGCCTTTTCCGCCCTGCCAGATCCTGCTTGGAAAGGTCCCCAGTCGTTCATGAAAAGAGTCAGGTCCATCTCCTCGTCCGTGGGAAGCCCGGTTTGGACGCAAAAGTGAGACTCAGTCAAAGTTTTCTCGTCAGCGAAGCGCCCGCTCTCCATCCTTCCCACCTCATGCGCGTAGTATCTCTCCTTGGGCCTCGACCTGCTTATGCGGCTCACTCGCCAGAGGCTCCCAAAACGAAGAAACTCGGTTCCCACACGCAATTGCTTCGGGACCTTGGCCGGCGGCGATGCAGCGAGACCAGCAGACACGGCGCCCTATCCATCACCACGTGGCTGAGTTATACGCCCTGCTCGCGAGAATTAGACAGCGCCTCTGTGCGGATGCCGATTTGCTGCCAGCGGCCCTCCCCGTGACTGCGGCCTGCTCTAGCTTGCGAATCTCCTTCATGTGGGCATCTTTTAGCTGTTTGATCTTGTTCGTCGCGTATTCTGACACAGCAGGATCAAGATAAGATAGCTGAGAGGAGGAATCTCCTAGCTGAGAGGAGGAACATCTCCCCATATCTCCCTTGATTACGATCGGTCAGTGCTCGCCTATCGGTCATCTCCCCACATCTCCCCACATCTCCCCACATCTCCCCACATCTCCCCACATCTCCCCACATCTCCCCACATCTCCCCACATCGTGGCGACCAAGGGCGAGTCGAGGCGACAGCCAGTGCAACGCTTAGTTATGAATTAATAATGGCGTATGTGAGACGCGAGATGGAACGGTAGGTAGTGTTTATTATGAACTATTGACCACCGACTCTGTCAACAACTAATTAGTAATGAATTAGTAAGCGGTGAGTATTCTTATTAATTACGAGTGATTAAGAACAGGCGGCGGCCGCGAGCGCCTGTTCACAGCCAAGAGGTGTGAAGACATGTCTAGTGACTGCCTGTCCGCCTGTGCCGATCCGGTGCACCTGGTCTGGTAAACATCGAGCTGTATTCCTCAAGGTAGTCGACGCACTGGCTTGTGTTTGCCAAGAGCGCCTCGTAGCCCTCCTTATCATTTGTAGCGTCGGCCGGATGGCCGTCGCGGCGAACGTTCACGTTGCCTGGCCTCCAGCCCATACTCCAGAGGTTCCAGATATTTGCAACAGTTTTATTCGCCTCTTTGTTCTCGTCCCACTTTGGCGGCCTTACCTGCCGCTCGTCCCCCTTTGATGAGGTGGGCGTCTTTGAGGGGAGGAGAGGTCGAATTCCGGCCTCGAGTTCCGCGTAGTTCTTTTTATCGATCACAAAGGCCTTGCGCTCGTTGGCGGCGCCACTGGGCATTGCACCGAGTATGGTCCGCTCTGCAAAAGCTTGTTGTCCACCAATGTAGAAGACCTGCAGCGCATCCGCTTCATACACAAAGACGAATGCGTTGTCAAGGGTGATAGTAGCCCCAGGTGAACACTGCCCGTCGAGGTCGATGAGGCTGTTGATGTTCGCAAGGCACTCGCCGACGGACACCGACACTTTTGTATCGCCTGCGTGCCTTTCTGAGGAGCCTGTGACGACGCTGCGGAAGCCGCCGCCCACCTGCAAGGGGCGGGGTCGAGGGGCGGGCAGTCGCGGGCAGAACGGGTGCGGAGGAAGAAGCAATTGTGGTCGAGATGTGGTCGAGATGTGGCCGAGATGTGGTCGAGATGTGGCCGAGATGTGGTCGAGATGTGGCCGAGATGTGGTCGAGATGTGGCCGAGATGTGGTCGAGATGTGTGCGAGATGTGTGCGAGATGTGTGCGAGGTGTGGCCGAGATATGGCCGAGATATGGCCGAGATGTGGTCGAGATGTGGTCGAGATGTGGTCGAGATGTGGTCGAGATGTGGTCGAGATGTGGTCGAGATGCGGTCCGCAAATTGTGCCTGTTGCACAATGGCGGTCAGCGCCATCGAGCACAAGCGTTGAGAGGGGCCCTTTCCAGCCCCCTTGCCCTTTGGTCCCTCGTTCTTCGCCGCTTCCCACTCCGCTTGCTTCCGCTGCAACTCTGCCCACCGTGCCCCCCCCTGTGTTATGATCTCCGTAAGGTCGCCCCTGGCCTCGGCCTCCTTCATGGGGCCTAATTTGCTGCCCTTTGGTGCCTCGCCAGGTCTCTGATAGGGCTGAAATTTTTGTGCTGTGGCTTCCTTTGCCGCCGACAACGTCGCCCGTTGCGGTAGGGCTCCGGTCGCAAAAGGATTCGCGGCACCTTGAAGCCCAGCAGCTGGAGCAGCGGCTGGCGCCGCCGCCGCCGCCGCCGCCGCCGCCGCCGCCGCCGCCGCCGCGCCCGCAGGAGGCGCGCTCGGCACTGTGCCCCGAGCTCCTTTGATGGCATTAAGCAGTGTCTTGATGTGACCCGGAAGCATCCCGCCACCCCTGAGGTCCGACTTGAGATCATCAAGTTCGGCGTCGTCAAGGCTCTTGAGAGTTCCGAGAGCGTTGTCCATGTCGTAGCCAAGTCCAGCAATCGTCTCTGCATATTTGTCTAGTGAGAGAGTTGTCAGGAACTCACGTAGCTCTGATGACACATTGACGC